AAAACAGACCTCTGCCCCTTTCCAGCTCCTCTCCTCACCTTTGACCCTGTGCCTCTCCACTTCTTCTGGCCCACCTCTGCCCTCCGACGCAGCCACGCATCATAGGTGAACTTCCTACAGGAAGCCCAGGGGCGCAATCAGCGAGATTCTCCAGTGAGAAAGTTAAACAAAAAACATCATCATGGCGTCCCCCTTCTGCTTGCACCAGCCCCAAATCTGACAGAAAAAGAGTGGGTCTGAACATCAGGTTGACAAAAATTAAATAATAATCAAATCAGTGTCATTGAAGATTATAAACGCTGTCACGTTTATCTTTAAACATTTGAATTTCAGTGGGAACTCCACCGTCTACAGTCTGTCAACGTATCAAGTCGTAAGCAGCAACACTGACTCATCCCAAAAATAATCAGACACCATTACACCCATTATGTGTAATGGAGGATGTGTTCAAGCATATCTAATCTTTTTTTTTTTTTAAGTTAGTTCCCAAGGCAACCTGCCAACCCGGTTGAACTTTAAACCTGCAGAACATGCTGGAGCTGGATGCAGGTAAAACAAACTGTGTGTGAGCGACTACGGCAGCACAAGTCCAACCTATTGACCTCTGAGCAGTGGCCTAATTTCACTGCCAGAGACTCAATCATAACATCTTATCTGCGGACGTGCTGACTCATGGAATTCGGCTGGGCCACGGCAAAGCAGCAGGGTTACTTATGGCCGACATTGATTGGTCGATCCATGAGCACAAACACCAAAAGGGCACATACCAGAGACACGGCCTGAAGCAGAAACTGGCAGCAGTTCGCTCGCGCTTTGTTTCACTCTTTGCTGCCTCCGAACTGACAGCCGACTTTGTTGTGTCACTCTTTTACTCTTTCCTCGCTCTTCCCAGAATTCCCTGCTCTCGGGCTCTGCATGGCTCTTCCACATTGCCACAGCCCCTTGTTCCTCTGTTGTGTAATTGGAGCTGGAATGGCAAAACAACGGCCGCTCGTTTCCAGAGGTCACCATTCCTCTGTGGCTCACATCCTGGTTCTTCGTCTCTATGGTCACACTAAGTCCAAATGCTGTGTTACTGTTGTTTTCTGATTTAAATGTGACTTAAAGATAAAATAAACGATAGCATGCAGCGCTGTGGGGGGGTTTTTCTTGATAAAAATAAAGCTATGTAACAAAGTATGGATTTCCACAGTAGGATTTATTTTACAAATGCAAAGTTACTGGAATGTTCTTGAAGAAACAAAAACGCTAATTCAACGTCATGTCTCCTTGGTTTGGTGACATCCCAACACGTTTAAGAATCAAGTAGATTCTTAAACAAGGAGGTAAGTTGTATCTGAGCCAAAGTTTAACACTGATAACTCCTAATCTACGGATGCTACTGAAGATGGCGACATCAACAATGGCAAAGACTGTCTTCAGACTTTAACTGGCACAATTATGTGTCCCATTGTTGCAGCTGTACAAAACACTTGTTTGCACCTCTAAAAGGAGATCTAGCATTGAAAACAATAAAAAAAAAAAACAGATTTATTCAAAAGAACTCAGATCAGTTCCCTTAAGCCTTATGTCAAGTCACCAGAAGTAAGTGTGCTTGGAAGCTTGCACAACAAATCGAAGAACTGACTTGTTGTTCTACGGGGGGGGGAAAGTACATCTAAGCCAAGTCTGATTTTACAAAAGCGTCTGGATAGTAACTAAAGCGTTTCTTCAGAACCACATAGAAAATATCCGCAGGATACAGCACAACAGAAATGTCTTTGTGCTCCAAAATAATACACGTGTTGTGATAAACTGTAAGGTGATTTTGAGTTACAAAGTGAAACCAATCTACTTGGATCACTGGGTTTAATTTCGAATTATTTTCACGGTCATTTAATTTAAGAGACTAATGCAGAGGACTGTGTGAAGTCCTATAAATCATCTGCAAATTTGTAACGAGCTCGGGAGCAGAAACAGCGGGGACAGAGGAGGCCTCAGTTCGACTGACGCGGGCACACTTTCTAATGGAAATTCAGATACAATCATCCCAGAATGCACTTCTCTCTGCCTAATAATCGGACACTAAAACAAGGCGGTCATTGAGAGGAGAGAGTGACTGTAATCTGGTCCAGAGAACTCCAAAGCTGACCACTATAATTAACTTCTTTTATGCACCAAACACAGACTTCCAGGAAAAAATAATAATAATAATCACAAAAAATTCACTCCTTTGAACTACCAGTGGTGGGGGGGGGGATGATGAAAGCGCAATTTCACAAGTGGGGAAATTTGCCATGCTGGGTGTATAGAGTCAGCTCATGCTGACAGGTGGAACAGTTGTGAAATTTGCAAACGAGCAGGTAAGTGGCCTGTGATTTACCCAGCAGAGCACTGGCAAATAAAAGCTGGGGTCAATGTGGGCAAAACATGAGGGAAGTAGTGGCTGTGAGGTTTATTATAACTCTCTTACTCTTTGATAAAATAAATTGAGCAAACCTACTGTCAGATTTTCTGGATCTCTGATTTGATAATGACAGAAAAAGTGTACATTTTTTTTTGCACCGATAGGAAAATCTGGGCCGATGTCAACATCCTGTTTTGGCCGATGACAGATGTTTACCAATATAATATACATTACATTATATATATATATATTGTGACACCTTGAAAAAAAAAAAAAAGACCACACTGCTGACTTCACCACTGCTTATCTGCTTCGGTTAAACTCCCAAAACTCCTTCGCTGCATTACTATGAGACATGACTAAGCAAACATGTGAACATCCTCCTCCCTTCTCTCTCAAGAATCAAATAGCAACAATAAGGAAATAACTACTGATTGTTAATATCAGTCCAGTTTTATTAGTCAGACCAATACCGATATGTTCAGAAAATGACTAATATCAACCGGTACCGATGTTAGTGCCGATATATTGTGCATCCCTAGTTTGTTTGTTTTTTTTTTTTAATCAATTGACCAACCAATCACAAATCAGTGCAGAATCTGGGAAAACTGACTAAATCTGAGTCTGTGCATCTTTACAAGCCACCTTTCTTACTCTGATATTAAGAAATAGAGAGATGTTGTTATTTAAACTGCATGCCATACCGTGTTCAGATCAGGATCTATCATCCAGTGACCTCAGCAAAAACAAAACAGAAAAAAAAAATGTATCTGCATCCCTGGCCTACATCCTGATGAGCCAAATCTGCATCCTCTAATCTCAGGAACACGGTCAAAACCCAAGGCCTGCCATCTCGATCCACAGCCCTGAGGCAGAATGTCAGGAGTGAATGCGGCTAGCTAGCCCGCCGCCTGAACAAATGGCACAACTATTAGAGTAAGACGAGACTTCCCAGAGAGGTGTGACTGCATTGCAAAGGCCCCAATCAAGCACAGCAGAGGAGAGCTGACAGCTGCTAATGCATTTACCTGTGACTACAAGAAAAAAAAAAGAAAAAGAAAAAAAAAATCATCTTTCTGGGAAAATCTATACACGCATGCGTTTACTCAGTCTGCTTGGTCATCCTAATAAAGCCTGGATTAAATCTAAAAAAGAAAGACTTATCAAATGTACTCAGTCAAAACACGCCAGGCAAATGTGGGATTATGAGTCACTAGATTTGCCGGAACAAGCCGCCCCATCCACAACACATAGCACCAGAGACAACACACAATCAAATGACAAAGTTCCTGTTTCTTTGCAAATGCCTCACTTGTCACGCAATGACACAGCAGTCGCTGCAGCTACAACTCAAAGTCCCCCCTGCATGTTGAGGACAGGCCACAGTTATCTCACCCTGTGGGGAATACTTCACAGCCAGCATCCACTTGTAAAAAGAAAAGCACTCAAGTCCAGCAGAGGGACTCGAGCAGAAAGGGAGTGGCTGCAGAAGCGATGGCCGGCCTGCGTTGAAATAAAACCGTGACACATCAGTGAATGACCTCGCAGTAAAAGAGAAAATGCTTGTGACAGCAATCGTTCTTAACTTGACTCCACTCTAAATCAATCCTAATATTAGAAAAGGCATAATTGGTGTGTGTGCCATCTGAAAAGATCTGAAGCAATTTGTCCCACAGAAAAGGGAAAATATAGAAATGCACCGATCAGCTTCTACCGGCCGAAACGACAATCTTTTTTACACCTGATACAGCAAGGTGAAAAGGGAGTGCAAGGTTCATTTACAGTGGTTGTAGCTTTGAATCCTACAGACAATTATGGACCTACAAGAGTTGCCTCATTTGTTCTCAAAAGCATCCGTCCCTGGCACAGATTGGACTTATCCAAGTCAAAAAAGTCCATCAAAGGACATGTTGCCGGTCAATGAGCTTACAGACTATATATAAATGGTGGGAGTTCTTCATTTTGATGTGTTTAATGAAGAGCCAGGAGGGGAACAAATAGAAAGTATTCAACCTGCCGCTCAATCTGAGTCAACTGAGGATAAATCAGACGGTTGTGATTTCTACCCATTTCGTACATCTCTGTAAGTCAACTTGAAGCTTACTCCCAATTTCTATAATACTACAAGAACATTCAATTTTGGAACAGAAATACACTCAGTCCACATTATTTAATAAGACATATATTAGGTAGCAAACATATGCCTCTGTAGCTATCATATCCTGCCCTTTAACGAATGCATGATGTTGTAGAGTTTCTCCAGGCCTGGCAAAATCATTCAAACAATTTAAAGGTTTGAGGTCCACATTTTTTACAATCTTCCTATTCCATATTGAAACCAGCATACCTTAGAGTGGCTCTGAATACGGATATAATAAAAACGTGTATCATCATTAGGGGAAAAAAATCATTATTGCTACAACTAAGGGCTTCAAATCGTGCCAGCCCTGTGTGTGTGTGTGTGTGGGGTGGAATGGGGTTGACTCCCAGTTCTCTTCTTATTCGCAGGAGCTCAGCACAACACAAGCTGCACTCCTCAGAATACGATAAACACCCTAAAATATCGGCTTATTAAACTGCTATGATAATGTATGGAAAGGAAGAGTCTACATACCACAAGCAGTCCTGTCTTCCCAGCTCTCGTCCACTCCGTTCTTCCTCTAACGTCGCTCCTCTGCGACTCACGGCCGGGAAAAGACTTTTTTTAAAATGTTAAAAAAAAACACACAACACTCCCCAGAAACACTCGCATCGATTATTATTTTTTTTTTTTTTCCGCTTTTCTAGTAAACACGCCGTCTGGCCCATAAGAGCTCATCCCCCCCGCGCTGTAGTCTGAAGTTTTCAGACATGAGCATTTGCACTTTCTCTTTCAGGAGAAAAAAACAGAACTCATTTCTGATTAAAAGCAGCAGCAGTTAAAAAAAAAAAAAGAGAAAGAAAATCTTCCCAAAATAAAAGAGAAAAGTCCCGTCCTTTTCACATAGGCTGGAAATGTCTGGCGAGGAGAGAGAAAAAGAGGGGGGAAGGCGTTGGGAAGCGCTGTTTCGGTGTGTTTTCCCCTTCTTGGATCACCACCACGTTGTTTTCACCAATTATTGTTTCCTTTGTTGTGTCTGAAATAAAAAAAAAAGAAGAAACAAAACAAAACAAAAGAGTCCGTATGGAAGCCGATTCGGAGCTCTGCCGTCATTTACAGCAACGCTATTTTCAGAGTAAGGACAGCTCGTCGTGAGGCGCTGTGTTTTCCTTTCTCATGTTAAGCCCCTCTCGCTGGATAAATGCGTGACGTTGAGAACGAGCCGATTTTTTTTCCCCTCAGCTTCCCCAATAATGGCGGACCGTCTCCTCTCCTATTCACAGAAAGCAGAGAGAGTCTCTCCCCTCCCAGCGGTTGATGCCACAATTACAGCACAAACAGCACAGCCCAACACAGCACTATAAATGTGACAAAAAGCATTATGGATGACATTTACTTTAGGCCAGGATGGCCAGAAATAGGGGTTTATTTTTTATTTTAATGATGTCTGACTAATTTTAAATAATTATGACCTTTGAATTATTTGGGTATTTAAATAAAGCAAATAAAAATAAAACCATAGAGTAATCTCAACCCTACGTGGAAATTTCATCTTAATTTAATTTTTACATAACTTTGGCTTTTTTGCCACAATTCTTAGTCAGTTTTTGTATTTTAGGATTAAATGTTTTTCCCCCCCAGGATTTTCACTCTTCCATATCTGCACCTTTATAATTATTGTTTTGTGGTCATTGGTTCAATTCAGATTATATATGTAGTGCAATTTCACAACAAATGTCATTTCAAGAAGTAGTTTCAGTTCAACATCGCTGTTTTAACCATAAGCTTTTATCAGAAAGGAAAGTTTTAAGGCTATAGTCTTTATAGTAGTAGTATAGCCTGCCTCACTAAAACCCTTAAACATCTCCCTCAAATTCTGGGACCAAATCTGAGACCAAAGCATCGTGTTAGGAGAGAGCAATCAGAACCCTGATGTAAGATTTTGTTTCATTATTAAGGGCTTCATGTGTGTGTGTGTGTGTTTGTGTGTGTGTGTGCGCGTGTGTGCGTGTGAGAAGGAGAATCTTAAACTCTATTCTGGATTTAATGGGGAGCCAGTGGAGGTTCTTTTCATAAACACTATACCCTTTTGTTTGTCTTTTTTTATGCCAGTAGGTAACTTTGCAGTCAACAAAAATCCCATTCAGAATTTCCCAAGGCTCCATCTTCATTCCCTATAATGTATGTGATCAGTAGCTCAGAATATGACAGTGATAAGCTGCCATAATAATGCAGATGATACGCAGCTCTACGATACGTTGTCACCCCTATGAGCCCATCCAAGCACTGAATATACACACAGAACAAATCAGGGCATGGATGTCAAAATCGCCTTTTTTATCATCTAAGGAGCATTTCTAGGAAAGAGGGACTACCATCCCAGCGTGATCTGGAAAAACGAATCCATGCTTCTACGCTAAGTTAGTTACTGCGACAGTGTCTTCATAGGACTGCCCAAAGAAATCAATCAGGCAGCTTCAGATGATCCAGAAGGCCTCTGCTAAAACTAGGAAGTCAGAACGCATCACCTCAACTCAGAGACTTTAAAATACTTCTGTAAGTTTTGAATGGTTTAGCACCAAAACACATCAAAGATCCGTTGTTGATGCATTAACCTTGCAGACCACTTTCCTGATAGAGAGCAGACGTCATTGTTCTACGCATGACAGCATGTTGACTTGGTTCCGAAGCAGCAAAAAAAAGTCCAGTATGCAAAGTTTGAGTAACTTTTTTTTTCCCTATGAAAGAATAAATTGACTTTAATGCAAATTTAAAGCACAGAAGCACACAAAATAAATTTCACATTTGTCTGTGTGAGTAATAATTCAAATAGGATTTGGGTTATTGCTTCTCGGGGAGCCTTCGCTTCGTCACGGCAGTATATCTGCAGTTTAGAAAAGGACTAACTGAGTATATTTTTGTTCCATTTCCCTCCCCGGGCCCCAGGGGTCACACATACCACTTCCGTTCTTTTACAGCTGATCCACATTCACACGTACAAAGTCAAACATTAGTCCTTCTCTGACATACTCAACCGTCCCTCCTATGCTTCGCCCAATAAGGGATTCACCTGATAACTCCGACTTGAAGCCTGATTTAGCTTCAGCGGCAGCAGAGAGGGGGAAATATTTCCTTCCCTAGAAAATCAATCATCTCAAAGGTTAGTCCTAATTACTTGAGTTGTGCTCAGAGTCCTCCACTTGATAAAAGAATTACAGTGACGGGGTTGGTACTTTGATAAGTTCAGCCAGTGAATGATGAATAATTCAATCTTCTGAGGATGTCAGCGGCGCTGTACTTTGGAGAAATGACTGCAGAGTCGCACAAGAGCTCAAACAGATGTTTAATGTCTCGTACTTGGAACCCTCTCCTGAATATTTTCTCCCTCGCTCTCTGTGAGTTCTCGAACTTCCTGAAAAATGCCTTTTTGGGCTCTTGATCTAAAATCAGTTTATTGTTAAACTGTGCTTTATGTGGCTTTACAACCAGCTTTATTGAGCTGTTATGTTATCGGGGGGAGAGTACAAGCGTTGATGGCATAAAATGTGACTTCCTGGCAAAGCAATGTTCAACTTGTGCTAAAAAAACAAAACACACGCCTACCGTCACATTGCTTGCTGGGCTTTTAGCAATATTTGCATGATCCCGATTGCACCAAGCACAGTTAGCAGGGGTCAAAGTTTCAACTGAGGAACCTGTCTCTGTGTCAAAGGCCTTTCTCCTCCATTTGCTTCCTTTTCTTCTTTTTCTCCTCAAGCCGTTTTATAACGCTAAGCACCATCTAAGCAATTTCATCCTTGCTTAGAGATTACCACAGTAATGGCGCTTATATGAAGCCAAGCACATTGATGCCAAAACACAGCCGCAGGCACTGCATGGAAAAAAAACTTCCTTTGTTGAACCACTTGCAAGCTTCTGTTATCTTTTTTTTTTTGTTTTCTTTCGTTCTTTTGCTGTTCCACCTCAACTCTTCTCTGCATTTTGCAGCTGACATATTTCTGGGTCCCATAGGGCGAGCACATTCCTTTCCTCACAGTTGTGCAATCCCTGACAATCACAGTCCACCACCTCCCCTTCTCCCTCTGACTCCCCATTCGTCCAAAGTTGCTCACAGGGCAAGCTGTCCAAACTGTCTGGGCAATGTTCTGTGGGGAGCTGGCAACCCGGCCTGACCTGTGTACAAAAACCGAACCCTGGCTGGCGATGAAGGAGCGAAGCTCAAATAACTTGTTTTAAAAACACAACAGAGCTACAGTGGACATGAGAATCTAAGCACCACTGGTAAAATGTCAGGCCACTGTGTTGCTAGAAAAACAGACATGTTAGAACTTTCTCTGTTTTTAATCTGACCCATGCAATGAAAGACAAAAAGATAGTGGAAAAGGTAGAAAATAAGAATTGAAAACGAAGTGACAGAAGAAGGATGCTGTTGGACACAAACTGAGGATGTGTTCACTAACACCCACCACGTTTAAGCTCGCGTTGAACTGGAGCCGTTATTTAAAAGTGTGTCTCATTAGCCCTTAGTAACTTTTCAAAATGGTTTTTCTCACATTTTCTTGGCCACATCTCAAAGCAAAAACCACGGTCTACAAACAGCTTCTAGTAATTTCATTGCCAGGAGGCATCAGTCAGAGGAAAACACAGAAAAACTAATGAGGCTTTAAACGTACCATGGAATATGGTCATCATCCTATTGAAGGAATATGTTTTAACAAGTGAAGAGAAAGAAACTGGTCACCCTAGCCCATAGCTGTCATGATCCGTAGTTTTCTGTTTGTTTTTGAGTTATTTCTGTGTTTATTGTTCTGTTCCCTGTGAGTCTCTGTCTCTGCGTCTTCCCCGTTATTGTTCTCAGGTGTTTCTCGTTCCCTTGATTATTTAAGTCCACCTGTTGTCTTTGTCTCTTGTCGGGTCCTTGTCTAATGTCTGATGTCTTCATCATTAAACTCATCATCTTCACCATAACCTGGTTCTCTGCGTCAATCCTCACCACCACCCACTACCACTTACGACAATAGCACCTATGGGATAGAGTGGCAACATAGACCATTTTTTTCAAAGAACTTTAGCAAAGTGTACCAAAAGCACATTTGCAGATGTATTTTGATCTAATGAAAACAGTGTTGAACTTCATGGCCAAAATGTATTTTGGGAGCAAAATACCTGCACAACACCAATTCCTCTGGTGGTGCCCTCATTATTTTTTTGTGCTGTTTGCTTAGTTATGAACAGTTCTCTGAGCCAGTCAGTGTTGGTACAAAACCTTCAGCCTTCTGCTAGACAGTTGACAATTAAGAATTTAACATAGGAGTCTAGAGTCCAGACTTAAATCTAATTTTTCTGAAGAGTGGGACTGTTTAAGAACAAATACTAATGTGGCAGGTGTCTATTCTATATTTTCACTAAGGTCTGTGTATTTAAATAGAAATTACAAAAATATAGATGTTATTGAAAATATTATTAAAACTGTTATAACTAGTTTGATTACTTGTTTTGGAAGTGGTTGAAATAATTGTTGCTTTCTGTTTTAAAATTAGTTACAGCATATTATATTTTTACTGACACATTCAATAATGGTTATGGCACTGTTAGAATCTCATGGTTTCCTGTGCCTAGATGCAATGAGTGGCATCGTTTGGCTTCATATATCCTTGTCCATAACAAGAATGACATTTCTGTATTAAAAATATTTGAAAGCTTGTAATAAAGCTGAAGTTGAACAGTATTGATATTCTACATATTCGTGTACGTAGCTACATATGCAAATGAAATGTCAGAGCGGTTGTTTAATAATGGTTAATGTCTCAAAGAACTGTGTGAGAACATCCAAACAGTTCTTGTTGAATATCTGAGCCATTTCTTTCGGATCTGAAAAATAAAGCCGGAATTCCCGTATCTGCACCGCAACCAACGGTTGGACTCATGTGACTTTTAACGCAACTTATTAAGAAATCGTCAAGCAGGATTTATGGGTTTTGTAGTTCTGAAAATGAAAGCTCTGAGTTCCTACCAGTTAAACAGAAACACGTTTCCCATCATGCAACGGCACTTTGGCGTAGCTTTGCACTTCCGGTTAGCTTGATAAGATAGCGGACGAGCGGTCAATAGAAGAAATACTGATGTGTTAGTGTAAAAGTGGTGCTTTTTCTGCTCAGGAACGCGCTATTCTGGAGCTCCCAAAGACTTTATTTGGGAAACGAAAATGGTAACTATGTCATTGTTTTGCGTTGATGTGCTTTACCTAAAATATCAGTTGGAGTTTGCTACCGTTGGACGGATAAGCTCTTCATTCAGTCAGCAGGAAATAAAAAACGTTAGCGATTTTTTTTTATTGACCTAAAGAGTTAAAATGTATACAATTGACCCAAACTAGTTTAAAAATATGGCTGGCTTTTTAATTGAACTGTTATGTCGCTAAATAAATAGCTGTAGTCATTTCACATTAGCTAGGCTAATAGGAGTTTCTAGCTACAACGATTTCTTTGCAAACCTGTCCAGCTTTAAAACGTTAAATCTATATATTTTTTTGTCTTCCCATATTAAATTGCTTTGACTAAGTTGATATTTTGTATTTTTGTTGTAGCTTTACTAATGTTTATCTTTCTGTTATCTTTTCCTCGTAAAGATCCGCTTCATCCTCATCCAGAACCGAGCAGGGAAGACACGGCTGGCCAAATGGTACATGCAGTTCGATGACGACGAGAAACAGAAGCTGATCGAGGAAGTGCATGCCGTGGTCACTGTCAGGGACGCCAAGCATACCAACTTCGTTGAGGTAAGGGGATTTTGTTCATGTTTAACTTACGCTACATTCATTTGCGCAGTTTTCTCTCCAGCAGATTGATGACTCTGAACATTTTCCCAAGAGTGTTTGTTGTTAAAATATCTTGCTAAGAGTCTAGATTAACATAATTGCTGTTTTCCAACTAGTTGGTGCAAAGCTGCAGTCTCTCTGTGCTCTGTGACTATTGTTCTTATGGAAGCCGTCTGTTGTTTTCCCTCAAAATGAAATCTGTAATCACTACTTGAAATGAAAGTATCCGCTGAAAAGAAAAGCCATTTGATACTGAAAACGCTTAAAATGTAAACAACTAGAAATGTGAAGTATTTCAGTTTAAATTATATAAGCTTTTATGTTTGTAGGGGTCCTGCATCAACCATTTTCATATCAAGCGAATAATTTACCTGTAGCTTATTGTACAGGGCATTAACATTTTTTAGGAGAGGCTAAAATTAGTCATAATTCACTCATTTTTATTTTGAATGGGATTATCATATTGTTGCTTTCGTTGCATTGAAACCAGTAACGGTGTCTAATACTCACACGTCAACTGCTTGGACACGTTAGTTTGACTTTATTAGGCAGACTATGTGCTGTACATTGTACATCACTTTTTGCAGGAAAAAAATGTGCACAAGAATCCTACAAATGTACAAAAAAAATCACCTTTGCCAAGTCATTTTCCTTTGTTTAAATGTGACTCATTAAACTCAAAGGAACCCGAGTTTCTCTACAACCTTGAATTGTGCAAGCCTTCAATTCAAGGTTGATGCATCTGATGCTCCAAGCCATCAGACACAAACAAAAATCTGACCTTGTTTTTGTTTTTTTTTTTTTTTCTTCATGTTGCGGATTTTATACGTTTACGCAACTTTTTTTTTATGGGGAAGCTGTGGACATCGGGCGCCGGTGAAAGTGCTGATGTTATGAAACGAGACGCTGAGTTACTACAAGTATTTCTTTGTTTTACTCCCGCAGTTCAGGAACTTCAAGATCATTTACCGGCGCTACGCTGGCCTCTACTTCTGCATCTGTGTTGACGTGACTGACAACAACCTGGCATACCTCGAAGCCATCCACAACTTTGTGGAGGTAAGTAACTGAAACACACACGATGTAGACAGAGCATGTGAACTGTGATGATCTAGTTGTTGTGGTCTGCTGGTTTCCAGGAATGTCTCCAGAGGGTTTCTCTTTCTTTTTACTGTGTCTTTGTTTTTTTAAAGAATGTTTTCTGGTTTATTTACTTGCTGCATCTAAATGTCAAACTTGATTATTTCTCCTGTCAGTTGAAGTGTTATCTCACTGTAAGGACATCAAATAAGTCACTTTGTAGTCACAGTTCCTGCCTGATGCCTTTATATCTGTATGGACCAATATTTCTGGAAGCACTTGCTCATTCTTTGCCATAAAGCATTAAGGCAGTTCTGAAGGTAACATTTTGATCTAGTAAGATGTACTTAATAAAGAGGCCATCCCATGGGATTTGTTTTCGCAGAATTTTGTGAACACAATTTTTCCCCATTGCTCCAACATAAGCAAAGTAAAATTTAAATGAATGATTGTTGAGCTATTCAAATTTATAGATCAAGTCCTAAAGCAATGTAAAAACTACTTAAAAATGAAGTATAACCGATTTTAAAACCGATGTAAAATGTTTGCAACATATTGTGATATTTTTGTCTTGCGTTATGTGTCTCTATCATTTAGTCAACTGCCTTCTGAAATTTCAAGCTTAAAGTACAATCAGGTTTATTTATATTTTTCCTAAGACGAACAGTTGAGCATTTTTGTCTTGACTGCTCAGGAGTGAAAGTCTTTTAATTTACTGTTTGACCTTGATAGAGACATTTAATGTACAACAATGCAGGATCTTAAAGTGAGCCTCCTGTGTTCTATATGGCCACATCTAAAGAAAAAAAATGCCCTCTTTTTTTCTTCCCTTTTTTTTTTTTTTTTTAAGATTCATTCATTTGGTGCTATGGCTGTGGCTCGAGATTTCCATTATCTTTAATCCATTTAGACAAATGAGAGAAAAATGGGGTTCAACCCCCCCCCCCCCTTTTTCTTTTTTTTCCTATTAACTCTTATATTATAATCGTAGAGGTTAAAAAAAG